CCCCCCCCCCCCCCCAGCCCAATCCCCCCTCCCCGACGGGTCTGGGCACATTTAGCCTCTTTGACCTTCGGCTTGCTCATCAAGAGAGGCTAACGCGTGCCTTTGCACTTTCTCCGCGAAGACGGCCACCTGCGTGTGCGCCAGGCCCGCAGCATCCTTGCGGGGGCATTCGGGAATAATGAGGACGGTGGTGTTGGAATGTGCGAGTCGGGGAAACGGGTCTTCATAGCCCTTGCCCTCTTGGAAGGAGACAGATCCCCCCCCCCAAAAAAAAAAAAAATCCTAGGTCATCCAAGCTGGGTTGTCAGAACCTTACTGATCTTCTGGGACGTGGGCTGAGCTCAAGACTTTAGAGCTCGACCACCTCGTCCCGGGTTTTACCGCCTGGAGTTGTGTTTGGAGACCGTGTGCTGGGCCCTTGGCCAAGTGTCTAGGTGAGGAAGTTCTTTCATGTGTGTTCCTGCAGTGGGCGTGTGTGCCTAGCAGTTTCCGTGTCAGCAGTGATGCTGGTGTGTGGCGCTGGGCGCACAGTAGGTGCTTAATAAACTTTGCCTTTGCTTGGGGTTGTCTCTGTAAAAAGCCGGTTCGTTTGTGGAAAACGGAGTCTTTGTTCTTGCCTTCGGGGAGCCCGAAACAATGTTATCAGATTTTAAGGCTAGCTGCTCTCTTGGAAGTGTGCTCTGGAGCCTGTTGGCCTTTGGTGTTAGGTTTTGTTAGTTGCCTATGGAGTTGCTGTGCGTTCCGTTTCCGTGGGAGAGACGGGAGGGATCTCTGGTGGGCTCTCGCACCCGGGAGGCAAGCTGCTATGTGGTCAGGCCGCACTTCTCACCTTTTGCATTTGGTGTCAGGGAGGAAAACTTTGCTTTTCCACAAACCCCTCTTTGTTACTGCTGACGGAGGCGGAATACCGAGAGCTCCAGTCGCTTCTGGTTCTGATCTGGAGGGGTAGGTATGCTTAGCTGGCCGCAACCTTCCCCGGAGTTGCATGGAAATAAATGTCTGGGGCAGCTCAGGTGACACCACTGCCTGGAATAAAAATTCTCTCCTCTTTTAAAGATGGGAAACGGTCTTCCTTGTAAATAGGCAGAAATGACTAAGCACTTGAAGGAGGGTAGGAAAAATTAGCTCTAGGAAGTCTTGTATCCTTGCTATTCTTAGTACAGGTTTATTCCCTGTTTTTCAAATCCTGTGACTCTGGGATGGGATTTAGTCTGTGTAGATTGCCATATTTATTTTCAATTAGTGTGGTAAGTGAGCAGCCACAGCCACTGTGTGCAGAAGGAGAGAGAATTCAGTATTTTCGAGTGCTTTGTGTCAACGTCTTCTTAGAAGTTCATCTTGGGGATTTAATTTTTCTCTTTGGCCGAACTTAATATAGGTCACTTCTTAACACGTTAGCTTTCGGCACACTCGAATGTCTTAGCCCTGCTGAGTTTTAAAAATACATGCAGAATTCTTCTGTGTTGAATTGCCAGTAAAAGATCACTGTTTAGTTTTTTACTTTAATCTTGCCTGTCTCATTTTAGAAACAGCTGTCTTTTGCTTGATACTGTTTGTTTTCATTTGTTGACAGATCTTTGGTTTCCATGAGAATACGGTAGATGAAGAAAATAACTGATTTATGCGTAAATTCATAGGATGAAATGTAACTTTTTAAAAGCATTTTAATTCCTTGTAAATTTATTGAAAAGGTATTTTGGTTTTTTTTTGCTGGTACATCTTAGTTTATTCACTTAGAATCAAGGTGATTTTAGTAGCCAAAGAAATTTCATGTACATTTAATTATCCCATTTTATCTCGATAATTCAAAGACTATATACAGTGTACACATTTTCAAATTTTAGTATTTTAAAATCAGAGTTAAACTACATCGTAGATGCATTTGCTCTGATTTTTTATTTAAAAACACTGCCTTGTAAAATTCCTCCATTAAAAAAGTATGCGTATTAAGAAAAACTAGGTCTCCTCCCATCTCCCAGAAGTCACCACTATTGTTTTTCCTTCTTGACTTTTTTCCTGTAGTTACACAGACATGCTAAATTTGCCACTGAGGTGGACAGGCTGTCCATATATAGGTCTGCAACTTGTCTGTCTCACTTAATAAACGTTAGCTGTATTTAAAATGTATTTGTAGATAGTTCTGTGGCTGCGTCCTGTGCTGTAAGTAAGGAGTGCTTTATCTCAGGAGATCTTCCTACCAGGGAGGTGGCTACTGCTGCTATAATGTTACTGTTTTTCCTATTTTATTGGTGAGGAAACTGAAGCACAAAGAAGTTAAAAGTGCCTAGAGTTACCTATAGCTAGGATGTGGTGGGGAGAGGGGTGGGGGCGGATTCAAATCCAGCCCATCTGATGCCTGGGCCCTCTGGTCAGTTCACTGGATCACAGACTACTTTCTGGGGTCAGTGTTCCGGATCTGCTTCACTCTTGTTCAGGAGTG